GCTTAGATTGACAGATACTGTCTGAGACTGCACAGGTGGGTTAAGGGAGGCCTATGGTCATCTTACATGAATGGTTCAAAGTTCAATGGTTCAAAATGTTTCTTTCCATCCCTGCCCTCCTCGCTTTCTTTCCTTTTTCTTTTTTCTTTTTGCCAATTCCTATAGCTCCATGCAACCTGCTACCCTAAAATGCTTGTTCATAAACCAAAACCAAACTCAACTTCCATCGAGCCAATGCTGACTCACAGTGACCCCCTGTGGATTTCCAAGACCAGCTGCTTACCAGAGTAGAAAAGCCAGTCTTTCTCCCGAGGGAGCTGCAGAGGGTTTCGAACTGCCTGCTGACCCTGTGGATCAGAGCCCAACTAGTAAGCACCGCCCCACCAGGGCTCCACGCTACGCTCACAGCAAGAGGAGGCAGGGGGCGCCGCAAAAGAAATGCTCCAGCTGCATGCACCTCTACTTCAGCTCTTCAACAGAACTTGTCGGCTCAAAATCACAAATGACTTCAAACTGCTGGCATCTATTTCATTTATCTATTAAAATGGTTAGACTGTCTAAGCAAGGAAGGGGGCAAAATGTCCCAGGATCCAATAAGTTCTCATTTTACCAACAAAGCCCACCCCTAACATGACTGCTTATTCTATTTGTGAGAACCACTATTACAGAGATTTTTTAAAATGAAACCGTATTACCTAATTACACAGCTAAGCTATAATAAAACTTTGAAGTAGAACACGCGTACTGTGGTTACAAGACAGAGACCACATACAAATTTAGCAACAACTTACCACATTCAATAGCATGACCTTTGTCATTGGCATTCAAGTGTCGTTTCGGATAGCACTGGTAAGGAGGGAAGAAGTAAGCTAATCTCCTCAGGGCCCATGCCCCCCCTCCCCCCTGAGCTGCACTGCTGAAATAGTTTCCAAAGAAGCAACATATTTACACACTTCATCTTAAGGAACCAAAAGTGTACTTTAAAAAATATAGTGCATGTTGTGGGAAACTGAAAATAATGCCCAAATAAAATCCATGGGGTTGAGTGGATAGCGACCTTGTAGGACAGACTAGAAATGTATCATAGAGTTTCTGAGACTATTAATCCTCCTTTCAATGGATTTGAACCATTGACTCAGCAATTAACAGTCAAACACGTAACCCACTACACCACCAAACGCACTGCCATCCAGGCCATCCTAATGGTCAGGGTAGAAGTGCCTTTGTGAATTTCAGAGATTATAACTCTACCGGAGTAGAAAGTCCCATCTTTGTCCTGAGAAGCTGCTGGTGACCTTGTCGTTAGCAGCCCAACACATAACCCACTACCGCACCAAGGGTCCCTAAGTCCACTCACTATATGACCCCCAAGCCCCATTGCTAGTTTTACAGCCATGGAACTTAAAAACAGTGATGCTAACAGGCATATCCACACCAATGTTCATTGAAGCTTTATAGAGCCAAAGGGTGGAAACAACTTAATGTCTATCAATGGAATGAACGAATCAACAAGATGTAGTTCATAGGTACAATTTGAATACTACTCAGCCATTGGAGGGAAAAAAGCCCAGATACGTGCTACAACATGGATGAAGTCTAGAGATACTAAACTGAATGAAATCAGTCACAAAGAATATCTTCTTCGAGCACTGTGCTCTTTTTACCTGGTTTCCAATGAACAACAACAACTACACGGCTTAGTTAGGAAGCTTAGGGGGCAGTGGGTTTGTGTTCGTGGGAAAGGCAAAGACGCAGAAAAGAGGGATAAAACTGTCTGTACAATTAGGAGAATAAAACCAAAGCCACTGAATTGTACAAACCAAACCAAACTCACTGCCATCAAGTCAACCCTGACTCACAGCGACTCGATAGGGCAGGGTCGAAAGGCCCTGTGAGTTTCTGAGACTAACTCTTTACAGGGGTTCGAGGAGAGCTGGTCACTGTGAACTGCCAGGTCTTGTGGATCGTGGACCAATGTGGAACCACGATGCCACCAGGGCTCCTTCTGAATTATACACCCAGAAGTGCTAAATGTATACATTTTACTGTATATATTTTCAACCACAAAGAGAGTAAATAAATTCATTTCTAAAGCAGAAAAAACGTGCATAACACAATGAGTGAGGACACATTTTAATAGCAGGTCAGTCATTACTAATGAGCTATGCAATATATACTTCTAAAGTTCAGAATGAAAAAGACTGACCTAATCTATTCAGTGTCATATATTTTAGGATGAAAAACATAAAATTTTTCTTCTCTTCAATTATCTATAGACCAGCAAATAGATTCTGATATACGTTTTCTGTTTGATTTTGCAATTCTTAATTTTTTATTGTGAATTGGGTGAAAGTTTACAACACAGCCTATCAAGCTAATGCTCAACAATTCCTTTACATGTTGTTCCAGCTCATGCGCTACAATCCCCTCACTGGACCATCACTCAACCCCCTTCCTCCCTGCAGCTCCTGTTTCCCACCTGCCTTATTTTCTTACCCTTCAGAATTGTGTCCTTCGGGAAAGGCTGCCCTTTTGATCTTAACTGGTTGACTATCCCAAAGTGTTTTAAATTGTAGTCATTCTGTGCTAAACCGGACATGTGACTCCAAGCAGCATTCACCATGTTGCAGCACAAAGAAACAGAAACAGCAGGGGCAGGCAACCATGGCTTAAAGAAACAAGCACACAAAAGCTCACTGCCACTAAGTGGATCACTGACTCATAGCGAGCCTATAGCACAGGGCAGAATGCCTTGTGAGTTTCTGGAACACGAACTCATCAGGAGAGTAGAACGCCTCATCTTTCTCCCTCAGAGCTGGTGGTTTCAAACTGCTGACCTTGTGGGTAACTACTACGTCACACAGGCACCCACCAAAAATGTCGAAAACAAACAGTTTGTAGGTGGGCCCGCTACAGACAGTTCCCCAATGCCTGCACTTCCATCTTTGAAAGATTCAGTATTCCACCACACTGGTATCCCAAAACACCCCAACAACAGGGAGAAAAAGGAATCTTAATAGTAAACACTGGAGTGGTTCTGGGCATTTCAGGGCAGAAAAGAAGAAGCCCTTAGGGCAAAATTACTTTCTGGCCTTTTCTTCAGACTAAGGGGAAGCATATTCCCAGTACAACTAGAAAAAATAAAATTAAAAACACCACTTTTAAATTATTTGGACTCTTCCTATCAAGCTCATTTTCATGACTTCCCCATTCAATTGTTTTACCCAAAATTGAGGTAATACTTAAGTAAATTCATATTAAGAAGTAAAATGAAAGGAAGGATATAGCGGGGTGGGGTAAATATGAGGGCAATGATGTCAAGAAATCCAGGAAGGAAAAATATGTTTTGGAAAACATGTATGATTATGGAAGAAATTACCTAACTATGTTCGACATGATTCAGTTATGGAATGACATGACATGTATTAACCCCCAAGTTATAGAAAATTAATTTTTTTTAAAGGCATAGATTCAGGAATGTTCCTAAATTCTAAATCCTAGCTCCAACTTAAAAACAATCGGTTTTTACACCATGGCCCTGATCCATTCTCACCTTCATGAAATGATTACTGACGATAAGGATGCTACAGCAGAGTGTGGTGAAGAAAGTAGATGGTGCCCAGCTGTCAACTGGAATAGTGTCTCGGGTCTTAAAGGTTTGTATTCAAACAAGGAGCCATCTAAGCAAGGAGTCAACTAAGTCCACATGGATAAAGCACACTAGCGTGTGTGATCCAGAGATGACAATTACAATATTTGAATATGGTGAGGAGAGAAGCACCAGAGCACAAATGATGAACACCCAATTTGTGGAGGGCTGTAGGGGGCGGTAAGAGTCCCAAACCCACCTGCAGAGGATCTAATCAGGCTGGGCCACTGGCAGATCCACTCTAGCCATAGGCGAGAGTCTCAAACAGCCTTACTAACAGGCAGAGACCATGGTAATCTTGATTATGCTGGATCAGCTTTGATCCTGGCCAGCTGACTACCCTATAGATGGGACCTAAATTTCTTCTGAATGCAAGTATCTCTTATTGGTTCCATGACAGAAATTTCTTCCCTGGCTTTTTGAATGTTGTTGTCGTTGGGTGGGGTGGGGATGGGGGTGGGGGGAGGCGTGTCCCTTCTTACACATTATTTGTATTTTTGTCTGTATATTATGGTTTTATCCTTATTTCTTTAGCGCAATTTTGTGTTTCATTGTTTTCTGTTGGGTGTCCCACCTGTGAATCATAGGAGTGTGTGCATAATGAGAGTAACTGATACAAGGGGTTATAGGGAATAGGGGGCGGGGGGAGTAAATGATGGAAGCGAAAGGGGATCTTGGGCATAAATAGTGAAGATGGGAGTGGGGAGGGAGCACTAGAACAGATTGTGATTGCATAACTCATTTTAGAAGCAATTTAAACATTGGGGGGGTGCTCTAAAAAATTGATGCAGGGGTGATTGTACAATTCTGCTTGATATGATTGAATTACTAAACTACTGAATTACATGATATGTAAATTACTTGCCAATAAAACTGTTGAAAAAGGGAAAAAAGAAAGAGGTAAAATGAGGATTCAAAGCCAGACTCTCTGTTCAGGCTCTTTCTTTTCCGTTTCCGTTCTTACCCGCCTGCCTTCTAATAAGACACGGTTTTTGGGGGGTTTTTGGCAGGAACATAGATGGTATCCAAAACATTGAGATGAACTAGACAAGGAAAGTCTTGATGCACAAACCCTGGCACCAATAAATGAAGCAGTCTCTTGAAACCAAACGGATTTTAAAAAGACGAAGAAATAAAAGGCATCAATATAAATAGTATAATGCTTTCTTATAAGGATTTCAGGTTTTTAAAAAGGATATTCACCTAGATTTCCAAGATCATTGTCATTGTACTACAAATTAGTATGTTAACAATTTCCAAATAAAATCAATAGCCGATATAAGCAGCTCATATACGGTTGTTCAGCAGATTCAAGAGCCTAATTGCATTCAATGCATGTTCCATTACTTACTTGCTTCCTTCGGTAATGAGTAAATTGGGAGAGGCCTAAAACAGTCGCAAGTGCACCGCCTCCAACAAGAATAGTCCCTTTCACTGCCTTTTGAAACGCCATTTCTTAGCCTATGAAAAGTTAAAAAAAGAGAGAGAAAAAATAGGTTATTTGAGATTTTATAACAATTCCTGTCATAAAAATATGGCGGAGGATTATCAAATTAAATTGCAGCTGGACATAAAATACAAGACAAGGAAGTTATTAACACGCCAATTTTATATTACAACTCAAAATCAAGCTGAGTTGATTGTGTAAAATTTACCTTACAAAGGGAATTAAAGAAAAGCAAATTAAGAGAAAAGGTAGTTCAACAGTATAAAGTCAAAAGAAGCCATTGTGTCTCTGGCAGAACTACATGCTGTACTTGCAAATCTGTCCAACAGCTAGTCCCTTCCCCAAGGAGACCTGGTAGAGTAGCTGTCAGTCACCCTGACAATGAACCTCTTGCCTGCCTTACGTTCTTTGGCAAAAGTTTAATTTAAATTGTGGTACAACTCCCTTCCAGAGTTGTTTCCTTCCCTAATGAAGTTCTCACCAGACCTAAATGCCAACACACTTAAATCTGTTTAGAGCTAAAATTCTGAGCACAAGAAAATATGGGAAAGCTATGGGTACAGTGTGAGCCCTAAATCCATTTTTGAGTCTCCATAGATTCAGCCTCCACTGAGTTCTTTCAGGCTGCTGATGGGCAACGTAAAAGGGCGTGTGTTGGAAAGTGGGTTGCTACCACTCCCTGGCCAGCCCAGGAAAGAACACTCTTACCCAGAGTAGCTTGGTTATGGGGCCTGCCTGTGTCAAACGGGTCTGATGGCCTCAGACCCTGTGCTGTAAACATTTCCAATCTGTAATAGTGCACATATCCCACTCCTGGTCCCTTTCCCATTTCTGTGGCCCTGCCTGCGATGGTGATGAAGAAGTCAGCCACTAACCATGATTCTGTGTTGAATGTCCTTTGATTTCCATACGCTATCAAAGAGTCATATGGCTGTGAACCCTTGGACATCATTATGGCCTCGTGCTGACTGTCTCTCTAGCCTGGATGATTTGTCTTTATTGTGTCTATCCTGTTTAAGACTTAATAAACAGGTCTTTATAGAATATATTTGAATTTGGGTTCTCCATTTCCTTTATCTGAGGGGTTAATTATCACAAGGTTTTAACAAAAGGGAAAACAAATTTTATTTGGCATATGCAACAAAGCGAAAAGACAACAGGGGAGCTAATGGTCATGGCATTAAAGCTATGTCTGAAGAACAATACAAAGCCAACAGCATATATACAAAATCAGTATTGGCAAAAAAAAATTTAATAATTTTTTTTAATCAGTATAGGCTTCATTCCTTCCATATCAAATACTATCGATTGTTCTCTGGAAGATCATTGACACACGTTTAGAATAACAAGTCAGGAGGAATTTTGTTGATCCAGTAGGCAGGAATGGAAAAGGATAAAAAACAAAAACTGTCCTTCATTCACAAATCTTAGTTTGGAAGGGGACACCCTTCGTTTAAGTCCCTAGTCCTTCCTGTATGTTCCAAGTGACCTATCCATCTTCCCCATAGGCAAACTACCTCTCCCTGCCTTCCCAAATTTATCAGGGATATTGATTATGATTACTGGCCTCCCCAGCTCAATGTGTCAATTCAGTGGTCAAAATGGGTGTGTAAAGTATACAAAAACCTCTTGTCAATCTTTAACTCTCTTAAGCATAAAAAGATAGCACTGTCTGATCACCTGAAAATATTTTGAGCTTTAGTAATGTGACTTGCCATTCAAATAGCAGCTGGCACACCCATATCTTAAGAGAAGCCAACGCCCTATTTTCCTGTAGAGGTGGCGCTTTAGCCTGTTAAGACAATGTACCTTACACTCAACAAACAGCCCAGGGCTCACCCCACTCAATCTCACCACTAACACGCCAATTCCAACCAAGTAACTACCCAACAGATTTTTAAAGGGAACAGACAGCTTCATCTTTCTCCTGTGAAGCAGTTGATGGTTTTGAAATGAAATGCTGACCCTTTCTATGGGCTAGCAGTCCAACAAGTACGCCACTATGCAACGAGGGCTCCTTCTCATGACTCAGAACATACTTATTAGGAAGAGAATTTTAAAAGTAAGATACTTTAAAAATAAATTCAACACAAATCGGGGAAAGTCAGAACTTGGATAAAGCAGAAACCAGTCATGGAAAGAAAAGCCAGTGCTAGAAAAGTGGTAAGACTGCACCCTGTCAAAGGTGGAAAACAAAGCAGTCCCACCGAGTTCCAGCTCTCACAGGTTTAGTAGCGTAACATAAATCGAGACAATTACAAGTTTACATCCATATTAAACAAACAAACACAAGGAAAACTCACTAACATCAAGTCAATTCCAACTGAAAGTGATCTTACAAGACAGGGTAGAGCTACCCCTGTGGGTTTCTGAATTGTACCTCTTTCAGAGAGTAAAAAGCCCCATTTTCCTTCCACTGAGCACCTGGTGGTTTCGAACTGCCAACTTTGTGATTGGCGGCCCAACACATAACCACTATGCCACCGAGGCTGCTCCTTAGGTTCATGTTACTATGTGGATACGAACCAGTTAGCAGAGCACAGGCGGACACATGGCAACCTCGTGCGTGCGTGTAGGAGACCTGCGCTCGAGCGGGTTTTCAGAGGCTGGTTTTCTGGAGTGGATAGCCAGACCTTCCTCTCAAGGTGCTCTGGATAGACTTGACCTTCTAACTCAGCCCAAGGTATAAATTAATAATAAACCTGAATCAGAGCATTTTAGTGTAGTTGATAATTATGTTCAACAGAAAATTCCTTTTTGGAATACTGTAAATTATACATTAAAAGCAAAAGGTCCGTATTTCTTAAAATCCTATTTTCCTGTGATCTCATTCCTTCTAACCAACTCCTAAATTTTCTTTTTATAAAGGTTCCTCCTAGAAAAACATTTCACATGTACACTACTGTCAAAACCAAAAACCAAACTCAATACCATCAAGTTAATTCTGACTCCCTGTGACCCTGTAGTAGGGTAGAACTGCCCCTGCGGGTTTCCGACACTATAATTTTTTAAGGGAGTAGAAAGCCTCATCATTCTCCAATGGAGCAACTGGTGTTTTTGAACTGCGGACTTCGCAGTTAGTAGCCCAACTGATAAACACTACATCACTGGGACTCATTTATTAGTTAAGACCTCTTTGCCCCTGTCCCATCTCTATATCAACCAAATGGTATTGGATGCTGGTTAGAGACCTCCACTTATCAGATAGTCAACTATAAGCAAAACCTTATACCCGAGGCTGCCCTAATAGTAAAAACTGTAATTTCATCAATGTAGAGAACACACATTTGTCAGGGCTTACATCACCGTTCCTGGTCCTGTTGTCAATATTCTCATGGTCATACAGTATGTTACGGGTCCCAAAAGATGACAATGATGTCACACTCTCATACAGATTCTAAGCATGTTATCTCCAGGCTAAACTAAATGTCCCTACAGATGAGAGACAGAGGATATGGTCATACTTCTATTTACCTCAACAATGCACATGCTTGCCCCATAGAGACAGAAGCCTGGCGGTCTGTTGGATGTGAGCTTGGTGGCTGACTCTCGCTTAGGATGAATGTTTCTGTGCTGTTGATACTGTCATTGATGACCTCACAAAGGATACCACATAGCCAACTGAGGGATGCTAATCCTTAACAGAAACTGAAAAAGAAACCACACTAAAAAAACAAACTCACTGCCATTGACTCAGTCGACTCAGAGTGACCCTGTAGAACATGGTAGAACTGAGACTCTATTTATAGGACTAGAAAACCTCATCTTGCTCCACATTGTCAATAAATGTGTCCTGGCATCAGAGGTGTTCACGCAACCCAATTAAGTTTGGCGCTAGTCTTTCCAAATGCCTGGATCCCTGAGTTCCCAGTTCATAGTATGTTATTGCTCCAATTTGACCTGAGCCCAGATGGCATACTAGGTACATTTTCATGGGTTTTCTCAATGAGTATTTTGAAAAGAAGTCCTCCCTAGCAATATTTTGCAGAATCCGAGAAGGCATGGACTATGATCAGCAGTTTCCCTCTTTGATGACTGCATAAAACGACCTATGCTTAAGGAAGCATTAGTTTTCACCAGAATCAAATCCATCCACCGGGTCATCTCCTTACCATGTAAAGAATACATCACTCTCCAGAATCATTCCAAAAAAAAGAGCAGAACTGATTAGTTCACCTGGCTTTCTTAAACTGTTATCTTATTATGATTGTGAATGTTACAATGACAACTAAAAACAAAAACAAAAATCCACTGACATAAAAATGATTCCTGCTCATAGCAGCAGCACTCCAGGGCGGAGCAGAACGGCCCCATGGGGTTTTCGAGACTGTAAATCTTTACAGGAGCAGTCAGCCTCACCTTTCTCCAACGGAGCAGCTGGTGGCTTTACACAGCAAAGTGGGTGGTAAGCAGTCCAATGCTGAACCCACAGCATCACCGGGGCTTCAATAATGACAATGAAACCCAAAACTCACTGCCATCAAGTCGATTCCCACATACATAATGGGCAAATAGTGCTGTCTAGGTGTGTAGTGGGTTACACCCTGGGCTGCTAACCACAAGGTCAGCAGTATGAAACCACCAGCCACTCTTCAGGAGAAAGAAGAGGCTTTCTACTCCAGTAAAGATTTGCAGTCTTGAAAACCTGAAAGGGCAGTTCTACTCTACCCTGTAGAGTCATTATGAGTTGAAATCAACCCAAGGGCAGTAAGTGTGTTGTTGTTGTGTTCCTTTTTTGGTTTTTGAAATAGCTATGATGCTTTTACGCCTTTACCAATATCACTTCATTTCACACTCACAATATGAAGAGCTCCAAAACTTCATTGGAAAATGGAATTACAAGACAATGGATTTTTCTACCAAGATTTTTGAGGCCTCCTTGAATTCTAAATTTCATAAAAGAGGAAACTGTATTTCACAGGGGCCGGGTCTACCCAAGGTCACTCCACTAAATGGACAAATTATGACTGGACCCTATGCTCCAACCAGGGGTAGTCCCGTCTATGGCCTCAAA